GGAAATTCTGTGTATTACAAAGTTGTATCGAGAATGAATAAACTAGTTTTAATTAAGAAAGGACTTCTATCGCTGAAGTTCCTCGAAAAGAATTTATACCGGAAATTAACAATTAATGACAAACAGAATCTGTAATTGTCTTGTACTTACATTATAACTTATCTATTTTTGACTAACTGTATTATGGTTTAATGATTTAGTTTTTTGTTTACATGTAGTAACACTGAATAATTCCACACATTCTTTAAATTTCCTCTGAATGTAAGGATAGTTTTTTATGGTACCATTACTAGGCTGTTTCACTTTCCATTAAATCTTCTGTAGTTATAATGATTAAGTCTTTGGTCATCTTGTATTAATACATACAGATCAAATTGCACATTTCATGACTTTTACTTTTTGAAAGTTATATTCAAACTTAAATTAAATTATTTTCTTTATATACATATACACTTGGCATCAAAATGTAGTTAATAAATCAAATTTTAATATTATATAAGTTTAAGGTCTTAATTGTATAAGGAAACATTTTAAAAAATCCTCAATCTCTCCCAATATGAGAATTGTGACAATTTTTCTCTTGGTCTTAACTCTTCTCTAATTTATTTACCACTCCTCCACACAAACTTATCATGCTAGATAAGTTTAGATTAGGTAAGATATTGAAAGATAATAGTAATTCTTCATGAGGTATGCTTGTGAGCAGCTTATTCATTACGTAATTCAATACAGTATTGTGAGCTACAAGTTCGCCAAGTGAGTTACAACTTGTGTGGCAGGATTATTTGTTAGACATGATTCAAAGGGCAATAAAACTATAAAATTTAAGTAGAAAAAGATTTATACTGTTACAAGCTTTAAGTAATTTAGGATAAACAACTTTGGTTTTCTGTTACATTTTGTAGTCATTCTAGAAAGAAAAAAGGGATAATTTAGACTTATTTCGTATTTTGTTATGGCGGTACAAGGTTGGTCAAATTGAGCAAATGCATATAGAGTTAGGGTTAATAAAATAACATGAAATATATAGTTTTACTGAAAGAAAACGTTTGCTATTTATTTAGGAGGTTTTACAGATTATGCCAATGAAATTGGATAGTTTTCAGATGAAGAAAAGTATTTTTAATCTTAACATGAAAATCACTTTGTACTCGCAGCAGTTAACACTTTGAATCCATATATATTCACAAACAAATCTTTAGTAAAAATACTTAATTATAAGATTTGATTTTTTTTGTAATAAAGACTTGTAATGTTTACTGAAAGTTTGCAAAATTTTGTGAACACTAAACATAGGTTGATCAAGCCAATAGTGAGAGAGTTAATGCTGGACAATTTTAATATCAATACCTGTACATAATTGAAATGATTGAGTTATTAGTTTACCAGTACTAAAACTGTACAATCCTACACTTTCATTTAAACTATGCCATGAATTCTGTGACTGTAATAATTGGGTTCATTGGTTACTAGCAATCCTTAACAAATCCATACATCATTAACTAGTTTTTTATTTTAATAATTGGCTAATCATAACATTTTCCATACATCAAATAACATGATTGTAAAGAACCAAGTCTCAAAGGTATGTGTTTTAACAATTTTTAATTGTAATGATCATGTTCTTAGGGTACAAATATTATCACTAGAACTTTCACATCTCACAGTCCTGTGATTGTAATGATAGTCTTTAATTATTCAAAGGAACAATAACTATTCCAAATTTCCATTATCAATTTTCTGATTGCAGTGGTCAAACATTTACTAGAGTACTGCTTCTAACACTATGATTACAGTGATTGAATAGTTCTCCTATTCTAACAATTAAGAATTACAAACTTCAATTAACTATTTTTTTTCTAGCTGTAATGATTGAGTTTTTAGGGTACTAGTACTATCACTATACAGTTTCACATTTAAGTAACTACTGTAATCGATTGAATCTTTAGGGTATGTGAACTAACACTAAATAATTCACTATTTAATGATTGTAACAGGATAACTGTTTTTTTTTTTTATTCTTGAATTTTCCTGTACGACCCCTAGAATTTTTATTTTAAAAAGTTAGCCCTTAGGTTACCTGCAGCACACTGTAGTGGACAGCCAGCATATTTTTAGAACAAAAGTAACACTGAAATGCTTGGAATAATTTGTAAACAGTAAATGGATATATTAAGATAGAAGTGTATGAAAAATAATTTATGTATAAAGTTGTTTTTTATAAAATGTAACAAAGTATAACTTAAGTAATGAGAAAATCATGGCATAAGGTTAAAAATTACACAATGCAAGTAGTTGTTCTTTTGGTGTTTTTGAACTTTCATCTTTTCTGCCTCTTCATGGGTTTATTGAAGTGCCATTTTTATCAGTGTAGATGTGGAAAATTGAACCAGTTTTTATCTGATGCTTGAACAAATGCCCATACTTCAAATTGTTACTTAGTAGTAAAACATAAATATATTTTTTTGTAATTTGTTTCTTACCTTTTATCCAAACTGAGAAGGTTTTGGCAACCAATGTATTTTTATTGTAAAATTACAATTGAGATGAGTTAAGGAGACTTTTTTATATTTTCTGGTTCAGTATTTTAGTTA